ACCTCTCGGGTGGTTGATCCTGTAGCCTGTTGGACGGCGTTACGGTGGTGAACGGTAGCCTCTGCTGCTATATGATTTCCTTAACGATAAAAAGCGTTTCGAACCCACATATGTTCTCATCAAATGTCCTATCTCATTGTATTGCAACAACCCTATCAACCAACCTCTTAATTTTTTATAGAAGCAGATTTTTTTTTCTCCTAAGTTTTTTTTTCAAGTGGGGTCCTTTGAACTCTGCCCCCATTTTTATGGTAGGAGTTTCCTTTCGCTGCTTCCTCCTTAGTTCACCATACCTTTTCAGAGAGTGTTGAGTATTATTTTGAAATGACGATATGTTGGCAGATATGCAACTATCTCCATACCATACTAAACACTCCCGCTGCCTATGTGGTTACTCACAGAGAGCAGCATTTATCTTGTTTCGATTTATTTTTACCACAGCAATAATCTTTCAATGACAAGGACCTGCGGGCCTAAAATATACAATTTATTTATTTACGACCGCAGCGAAGTTGAACCCACCATCTCTTTCCGAGAAGATAAAACGCTTACTAAACACGAAAGGAATTATTGTATATTCTGCTGAGAGCTACTAGCAATTGTCTCGTTTATTCGAAATTTCAAGGACCTACTCATTGGGCGAAGTCTTATCCTTCGTATCGACCACCGTGCCCTACAGTGGCTCCAGTGTACAAGGGACTCTGTGGACCAACTCATACGCTGGCAGTAATCTCTACGGGATATTTAATTTTTAATGCAAATTCCGCCCACATTTACTACGTATTAATCAAGCTTTCAAACTTAGATCACAAATTCTTTAAGACACTTAAGCTGGAAGAAATTTGCTTCTGGGCGGCCCTAGGGAAATCCTTCTTGATTTTTTATACTGGGACTAATCTCAATGTTTACGTTAATACGTAGGAAAAACGCTGCATAAACCTACAAATACATTGTTAAAGTAGTGAGTTTTAAATGCTAATACCTACCCCGATCTTGAAATGAGCAATTCCAGGACAGCTTCTTCCTGATAATAATTTTTACAGAATGGAAAATCATCGGCAAGAGTGAAGTAAATTTACTATCACTTTCAAACACAGCATCGACGGTAATTCACACATACACTATAGATTTAGCTGGTGACATCAGATAAATTGTCTACACGGCACTCGTTATTAAGGACCGCTTATAATCTAAGCATCTTAGACTCTGTTTTAACTTTGCTCAATATTCTCATTATCCCTGCAATTGTTCCGAAAAAAATGAGGATTTGACGTTTCTCCAGCCATAAGAAGCAATTGATGTTGATTATATTTTTTGCATGTTTCGAGATTGTTCGCGCCCACTAGGGCCTTAAAAACATTACGACGTTGAAACTTAATGTCATTTAATTCCCTATTTTTGAAAAAAAGACTCCAAATTGTTTTGTTTGAACCTACCATTTAGTATGCACAAAGCCTGGGTATACAACTATTCACACTTACAAATTTAGAGACCGTCAAATGCATAAGTCGTTCTAGCAATATTAAAGATTTTGCTTTCTGTGCAAAATGTGTGATAGCGATTCTGGCTTGTCTATCAGCATCAATGGAAGCAATAAAGATGTGGCTTCCAGTTCAGGGGGAGTTGCGTTCATAAAAATAATTGTTCCATCTGTAAATCTTGAGGTAAATATAGCGTCTCAACATCATTTAATGTTCAAATAGAAAGTTTACAGTTTTCAACCGACAGAGGTCATTTCGGATATAAAATCAGCAGTAATTACTGATCTCTGTCTTGACTTTCGGGAAATTTTTAATTACGGATTATTTCTTCCCCCAAATAACGGGAAAGCTGGCAAATTTCTCCAAGAGGACAGACTTTTAAAGGACTATCCATTTCCTGCCTCAGTAGGACATCTTGAGGTTTGATGCATAAAAATACCTCACAGGATTTCGGTTACAGTTTAAATACAAACAACGGATTTATCGAAACCTTCCTACCAATGTCAACAAGCTAAGAAAACTCAATTCAAAGGTAAGGGTTGTAGCTAGCTTCAATTATTTTATGCCATTGTGTTGATTTGTCGTTTTTTAATAGTTGACATTGATTACGAGGTATATTCTGTTTTTCTGTATAAATATATTCAAACCGACAAACAAATTATTTAGCCAGTATTCCACCGACTTCGGAACGGGTCATTGCTTCTTTATTGGGTTTTGAAATAAACTATTCGGCAGGAATATTGCACTTTTAATAACAGGAATTTCGACTTTCAAAAAACCACCATTGGAAACAGTGGATAGGATCTGCCTTACTGCGGTCACTGAGGGGCAAAAAAGAAGATTAAGAAAGCCTGGGAAATTGCGCTTACGACCAAACATTTACTTAAAAGTAAAATTGAAAGAGAATATAATTTAGAAAATACGAAAGATATTTAGCTTCAGGTATAACAGAAGATGACTGTTATGTGAGATTTTGCATAAACAAATAAAAGTTGTCTAAAAACTAGAGTATGCTAAATGCGTTAGAAAAGTGATAAGGAGTTTGGATCGATATTTGAAGCATGTTGAAGTGAAGTGGCAGGAGACACGTGCAGAAAATGATTCTATAGATAAACATCAATATCACTGAAACCATTTAGATTGTAAATTATACGCAAGTTCAAGTGCGTGATTATATAACTGCGTGAAAACACTATGCTAAATTGGCAGTGGCATATAGGTAAAAAAAAACGTTTCAACTTACAGTTTAATTTAAATACGACTTTATTCTTCTTCTCTCTGTAGTTTGGCTGTTTATTTTTCAATCTAGTTTCAAATATTTTTTATGAAATTCCGTTACTTGGTATCTTGTATATCTATCGCAAGCAAACGTCTTCTTACTGAATGCCTTCCCAAGCCCTATACCGAAATTGTCGCAACTTCATTTTTGCTGAAGTCTTGCATGTTTGAAAGTCATACATGATAACTCATTTGAAATTACGCACTTTTGTAGAGCAATCTACGTCAATTTCTTGCGCTTGTCAAGTATGGTGAGGTCGAAAAAGTCACCCGGCTACTTGAAAAAGGTATTGACCCAAATATTCAATGCCGCGAAACTGGCGGTAAGTCCCAAGGCCTTGATTGGATACGTTATGTGTTTGAGAGTTGCGGCTTGCCACAATGTTGCACCAGATAACTCGTTGGTTCAGCTACTGTAACTTTGCTGCGCAGTAGCTGATTTAGTTTATATCTATGACTTCCTTTGATTGCAAAATAATTCGGCCTTTTTGGCCGAAAAAATGAAAGCCAGTGCTGAACTGTCAACCCAAAGGACAATACTTTTGCTTTCAACAATAGTTTAATTCCTTATTATACTATTGCCCTAACCATATACAAGGAATTTTGGACATTATATTTAAATTATTCTTAACTTTTTTATAATTTTAGAAACTCCCCTGACCTTGGCTGTACAACTACCGAAGCCAAAAGAATTAATTATGGCGCTAGTTGCCGGTGGTGCTCACCTGGATTATAGAGCGTCCGATAATCGCACACCCATCCATCGTGCAGCGATGTGCGGAAATTTTATTGCTATTAAGGTAATAATTGTGAAGATTGGGAGAACAGAGAACGTTAGATTGACAAACCGTGTGGAAGATGTGGTATAAAAAGCTCCCACTGCACCCTTTGTATGGTATTTTATATTTTCGCCTGTCGAGTTGAACGAACCCTATTAATAGGAGCCCATGAGGACTAAGCATATTTTTATTCATGCAATGAGTACGCGACTCAGCATAAATAATTTTTATTATCATCAAGACTTTATTGATGCTTATAACTCTGCCACTGTCTTACTCTGTTTGCTGTTTAATTTAACAGTAGTACAGACACATCTATTTATACCATATTTTCGGTAAATTCTTATCCATAACTATCGACATACACTGTTGGTATTGTTTGAAAGGCGGTTTTAAAAAAGTTCATTCTTGTACAGGTACTCCTCGACCTAGGCCAGTCTCCGAACACTCGTGATTCTGCTGGCCTGACTCCTCTCTATCACACCATGCTAAATGACACATCGGCAATGTGCGTTGAACGTCTTCTTTATGATCACTCTATCCTCGGTGTAACTGACGAGGCAGGACTCGAGGAGATACACCAGGTAAACATAGGTTTCGCTGTCATGCAAGAACTGATATAGCTTGATTTTTATACCGAAAGTTTTTGCATTTGCTAACAAACACAGGACGCAGTGAAAAGCATCATATGGTTTGCTATAAAATGCTCATATTAAACCCTATTTGTTAACTTTTGCGAACTGCATACAAAAACAATCTTTTCGTCATAAAAGTGTTCTACTCATAACCACAGTCTAAGATAACAACGAAATGGGCATATGCTTTAGTCCAGTGATGCTAACTGGAGACCTTTCATCTGAACATAGAACGCACACAAAGCTCACATATATGGAAATCTTAATACATCGACGTATTTGACAAATAAGTGTTTACTATGAACACTACTGATACAGCTCTTTAGCTTGACATTGGTTTGGTCACAAGGTTCGTTGGCTGCAGTTCGAAATATAGCTACATAATATCCAAAAGCTACCCATACTATTGATCGGATACACCTGTACTGTTGAGCACCGCGAAGTGCCACTCTATTTTCCCGGGTGTTTCCGAGTTAAGAAAGTCTCTTAGATCAAAATTTGTTCTTATTGCCTTCACTGACTGACGCAACTCAATTCGACTAAGAGAATTGTAAAATCATTCGTTGATTAATAGACAGACCCTAACGCAAGCAGGGGCTCCTCAATTTTTTTGGGCATTCATAGACTAAGGATTATTTATTTTCTTTAGGCATACAAAAAAATTACCCCCATTTAAAATACTCCAAATATAGCCTAGGCGTTTTCTTTGTCTCAATAGTTTATGGCTGCATTGTATGCTGAGTGATGATATCGTCCTTCAGGCAGAAGTGCGATATCGTGAATACCCATATTCCTACTGATTTTCATTCCTCTCGAAGACATTGTTACATTGCGCAGACCACAGGTGAATATGTTCCATGCAAAGGTATGCAAGCAAATATTGCAGCTGCTTCCCTTTTGCATTTGTGAGCGCCGATTTTAAGCGAGAATATTCCTGATCGCGCCTGGGGGTTTTTCCATCCAAACTATGGTTTAAGGTTTGAAATCAGAATTATGCGAGTCCGAAGTAGACTTTAAGCACACCCTCGATGGCAGAAACTAGGACTCCTAATTTATGGATATATATTTCTTCTGGGGGTTATTCTGGGCTGGCATTCAAGTTTTCCTGACTTAAGCCAATCAAAAAGTGATACCCAAGCCATATTATAAAGGAGAAAATACCAACTAAATGGTACTTTCACTGTTTTACGTTTTTATTGTCTCTGTAACCTCATCTTTCGGGTTTATTTATTTGGACAAGCTCCAATTTCTAAGAAAACTTTGCTCAGGGCGCAGTTTAAGTCCGAGACGAATGCCTTTAAATATATGGCTTTTTGCGTGGTTGGGGTCACTGTATCTGAACTTCAAAACGCCTGACGGTACAGGCACCCAGATCACATGTGAATCCTCCGTCGCCTGCTGTCTGTTCACTTCACGCCCTGACCAAACCGTTTTGGCAACTGCAGATGCATCCGTCAGGTCACCTGAATACATTCTGTTACTGGTCAGAAATAGTTTTTTTTTCAGTAGCATATTTTCTGCCAACCGCAAAGATGGCTGCTGTCGCCCTATGAAAATACAGTATTCGGGGGTTGGTTGTTTGTTAGCCCTTGTTGGATCAGGGGTCCCCACCGGAGTCCAAACTGGGTGCAGTTGAGATACGGAGAAAAGCCGCGAACTCAGCTGACTTGAGTTAAAGGTCCACGGGGGTGAGTTGGGTGCCTGGCCGGGAATTGCAGGCGAACAGATGCCGGCAGTCATGCGGCGAGACGCTGCAGTCAGGACAGCAGTCGGGTATGGGCGGGTCTAGCCGGTGTTGGTACTGGCGAAAGAGCATGAAGTGGCCACTGCGTAGCTGTGCCAGGGTACAGCGAGTGACCCTCGGAAGTTGTTGTTCTGAGGCTGCAATCGGAGGTGGATAGCCGCCCAAGAGGACCGCGGGGTGATAACCTCGTTTGTCCTCGACATCAGCTTTCTGGTGAAGACGCTGGAAGCCTGTTTTGATGGCAGAACCATCAAGGGGTAGGTCTGAGTGAGACGAAGCGACAACTGCCTTGTGAAGAGCTCGAATAGATGGTCGAAAGTTGTGGCTAGGCTCGGAGCGTGCCAACTATGGTGATTTGGATGGCCAGGTCGTGAACAGGTCCACCTGAACTGCTGGCCTAGGAGTTTGTTGTGGGAGGCGACCGGCAGGACAGAAGCCTAGTAAACTGGCGTAAGCAGATGTTCCTTGCAACTTGAAACCAAGTAGACAGAAGTCGTTTAACCTTCACAGAATACGCAACAGGCTGAGTATTCGGGGTCTTAGCCGGCGTTCACCGATTTATGCCGCTTGCCTTTGAGATGCTTTCCAGGGCCCACGCCAACTGTTGGGGTCTTTGCCGTTAACGGTATTCGGTTGTTGAACGTTTTGGGATATTCCATTGCCCGCTAGAGCTCCATACTGGGTCTCTAACGCCAAAGCAGAGCAACCGTATTCGATCCAGCGTTTAGGAACGATCTACATCAGACTCAAGCAATACACCGTTTGACTGAAACAGTGGACGGCCAACTACCGCACATTCAAATCTCGTCTAATGCCGGCGTGTGAAATGTTCCTTCAGGGGTTATATCGCAGCTAGCAGTTCCAGGTGTCCACCTTACGAAGGCATTTTCGGAGATGGGCATGATAGCAACCAAAGGATCAGAGCGTGGAGTTCCCCTTTTGCAGGTCTTAAGCGAGGCAACAACCGAACCGCGCTAATGTAATAGAAAAAGTCCTGCTAGACGACAAAATTCCTCCTTAATACCTACTTGTATGCACCTTACCTGAGGCTAATTAAAAACGAAACTTTTCCCTAATTGTTGCTGTTTTATCAAATGACACTGACTAAGTATGAAAGGTCCTACATTTGTTGAGAGTCATTGGCCCAGTCTACCACACAATAGATTTTTCTTTCCTTTCCGGCGTTTGTAAGTTGCCTTCACTGTTGCAAGAGCCTTATTTGACGAAATGCATGATTGTGTAGGAAAATGGCTGAAAGAAATTGGAAAAAAAGGACTAACGTTGCTCCGGCTCAGCGCTTCTTTGCTTACTGACTAGCGCGCAGATAACACTTCCTAGGCGATTTGTACCTGACGAAAAGTCGCTTTACGGCTTTGGCATGCAGGTGGTCATTTTTTTCAAGTTGCGCTACCCACGATTCAGTCTGAAAAACACTTATCGACGCATTCCAAACGAATCCTTTATATGCTGACTTTTCTGCAAAATTCCCTGTGTACTCAAAAGTTCTGGAAACGCATCCATAAAGTAAGTGAGGGGGGAGGGACGGTGAAATAAAAAAACTACGTCGGATCGACTTCTACTGGCAAAAGGGGTCAGAAGTTTCGGCCTGATCTACAGGTTGGGATGTAGCCTTTCAACATGGCTTAATGATGGGGATGCTGCTGTCACCTAGAAAAATACTGCACTGCTAATACCATTTGACCGGTTTCTCACTGTTTGAATTCTGGGGACCCCGAGGCCCACTGGAGTGGTTTGTTTCTGGACTTTGAAAATCTAACCTGCCGGA